AGTAGAAGTAGTAGTTGTTGTTGGCGTAGCAGCAGCAGCAGTGGTCGTAGCAGTAGCAGTAGTAGCAGTAGTAGTAGTAGTAGCAGCAGCAGCAGTAGTAGTAGTAGTAGCAGTAGTAGTAGGAGGAGTAGTGGTGAGCTTTCACACTCAGCAGGTTTCATTTAGTCGATGCGCTCGTGCTTGCCGTCCATTACTAGGTCCAGTTTTTGTGATTGCATCTTGCAGGGTTCGCGGCTCCAGACAGGAAAGGTGTGATTCGGCAGGAGCCAAGGAGTCACCCAGAATGCTGCACAAGCTCCTTGCGGGACATGTGGAGACGCCCCCTGGCCTCGACTACGTGGGCGGATTCTGTGGAGGTTTGCGGCACCTTGGCTGCAGTTTGGGGTGCAGGGGCCTTGAGCCAGGTGCCGTGCGGCAATCATGTATGTTGTCTCAGCCCAGGGACGACTACCGTCGACGTTTCGCATACTTTCGGTCAGACTGGCTCACGGACGTGATGAAAGGGAAGACAGTCTCAGGCGCGAAACCTTGAAAAGTGAGTTTTGCAAGGGCGTTGCAGCTAAAGCTGATGAAAGTTTCCGATCCTCGCCAGTGGTCATCAACAACAACAACAGATGGTAGCCTCATCCGCCAGCTTCAACCAGATGAGCTCCAAACCCATGAGCCTTGAGTGTTGTAAACGCATGCTGCAAGCTCAATTTGCGCGCGCGCGTGTGTGTGTGTGTGTGTTTGTATACATATATATATATACCTACACAATTATATACACATACATACACATGCAAATAAACAAATGAAAACAGATGTGTATGTGTATATATATATACATACAAAGGTTTACCATACCATGGTATATAGGGAAAAACCTACTATGCAGTAGGCAACCTGACCTGTACAGGGAGCACTCCCTTGTTTGCATTGCGACGCCACGGGGCTGCGAGGTGCGCTTTTCCTTTTCTTCGCCACCTTCACTTCTACCCTCGCCTTGGGCAAACACATCAACGATGCCCCCTGGCCTGCGTCAAAGGCCCTGAACCCTTAAATCCAATATATTACAGTGTCACGCCTATTAATAGGTGCATGTTCACAAAACAAAGCCGATGTGCAAGTGTGTATTCTTGCTTCAGCCGCGTGATTTCCAGTAGTCTACTGGTCCTTCAACCCTTAATGCACAGCACCCCGATTCCGAAATTTCGGCTGTAAGCCCACTCTCCTCATCTCAGCTGCGAGTTAGTAACAGCATACCCTCATTGTCACTTTACAAAGATATGTGTTATGCAACGACTCGATTGTCTTTTCTGTTTCATTCCTCCCAGAGCTGCTGACGAATAGTGTTGCCCGAATAATGAGCCGCGACATTCCCTTCTGCACTTGTCCCCATTTTCATGCTGATGACATGCCCCAAAGCAAGATTTTAATTCATCAAGTTATAGCATATTCGTCGTTTGCAAACCATCAGTGCTGTAATGAACTGGCCTTAGGACTGCCACCCCCCTAGCCCAACAAATGGAGAAGTGTAGCCAGAAAATGAAAACCCTGAACCTACGTATCCTGAACCCTAAACCCTAAACCGTGAGCACCAAACCCTGAACCCAAGACCCTCCCCAACAAAAGCAAAACGCCCCAAACGCGCCAGCCTCTGGAAGTCAGGTGACCCATGGCGTCCTCGCCTCAGATCCTGAGAGCTTGGGACAGGGGTTTAGGCTTTAGGATGGTCTTGGGGGTTAGGATTTAGAGAGGGAGAGGCTTTAGGATGGTCTTGGGGTTAGGATTTAGGGGGGTTTAGGCTTTAGGATGGTCTTGGAGTTTAGGGTTTGGGGTTTAGGATGGGTTTAGAAAGATGGTTGCGGTTCGCGGTGTGGCTAGACTTGCGTCCAGTGGGAAAAAAGACGGGAACTAGGGTTTAGGATGCACTGCTCCCGACGACAACGAAGTCCGGTGAACTTTCTCGCAGGATGGGAAGTCGCAGAGCGGGCCCGTGTTTCTGTAATCCCCCAAACTGTTCAGGTTAGATGTCAGGCCCTTCTTTTTGAACTAAACCGTAATCCCGAACGGTAGCCCCACTCCCCTAACTCCTTGCAACCTAGCTGCAGCTCCTCCGAGCAGGCTTCAAGGTAGCTAGACGACGAAACTATCCCCTGCACTGAGGGGCTATGAGCACACTTTGGGATCTAGGGGGGCCCGGCGTCCGACGTTTTTTGGCTCCAGGGCTCTTAGCTCAGGAGATGAGATGAGGGATGAGCTGTTTTTGGATCTTGGGCGTGAGCTGGCGGGGTGCGCATCTCCCTCGAGCCCGGGTGGCTGTTCGTGCGGTGCGAGAGGGAGGTAGTGATTGTTGCCTTCAGTGTTTAGTCGTCGTCTGGTCAAGCGGCCGGCAATTTTTCCTGATCGAATAAAAACGGCTCTGACTCTGGATGTCTGGGTTTCAAGCCTGAACATCTCGTGGTTCGGGCACTAGAGAACAGAATGAAGCTCGTTCTCGGCATGCTCCCACATCCATTCCGGAGAGTGTTGCAAATGTCCATAGACGTGTCAGTACAAAAGTTAGAGTTTGGAGCGTTCGTTGCAAACGGGGCTTTCCACGGAATCTCAGTAACTATGAGTTTGCAGCAGAGGGAGTTCGGCAACGGCTCTCCGGTGCTTGTATACGTAGGGACCTCAATGCTCAGAGTATGGTTTTGGGGTATACTGAACTATAGCATTGGTATATAGTTATGTAGTTCAGAAGATTGATCTCGGTTATCTTGAACTGTAGTATTGATATATAATTATGTAGCTCAGAATATGGCTTTGGGGTTATCTTGAACTATAGTATGGGTCTATAATTATGTAGCTCAGAATATGGCTTTGGGGTATACTGGCCCTTTATTATTATTACTATGGCCCTTTATTATTATTATTACTACTATTATTCGTATATATTATATATTATGTAGGCCCTTATACTAGATGCACAGGCGAGCGACAGAACTGGCAGGTCGAATTTGCAGGACTTTCACGCTTTCGAGACTCTTCAGCTTCCGGTCCCTGAAGAGGCTTCGGGGTTTGTTTAGGGTTTAGGGCCTAACTTTTAGGATTTAGGGTTTAGGGCCTAACTTTTAGGGTTGAGGGTTTAGGGCTTATAGGGTTTCTTTTTGTTCGATGGGCACTGTTACGATAAAAGACCCTGAAGACCATCGCGGTTGTCTGGTGTCAGTCTTGATCCAATGTGGTTGTGGTTGTGGTTGTTGTTGTTGTTGCTGCGCTGGTGGTCGCTGGGGTCGTCAGTGTCACGACGATGGTTTCCCAGACAAGGTCATTGGCATCAATGAGTACATGATTATGAACAGCATCTCGGGCATGCTGTGCCTTTGGCTGTCTGGAACACTTTTAATGTGCATGGTCATATAAACTAAATGTTTCAGCAAATATTTAGGAGATCAATAAGTCATTGTGAAGAAACATCATATCGGTTGCCGTAATCGGGGGTGTACGGCCTCAAGGCAGGGTCGTTAGCAAGGCACGGAAGAGGCATGACAGTGTTAACCGGGCTTCAAGTCCTAAACCCTAAGCCGGATGACCTTGTTGTAATCCTAAACCCTAAACAAGGCCTATAACTTCGTTGTAATCCACAGGCTCAGCCTTCAGGGCATACTACACCAAGCTGACAGAACCGAGCCTTCAACAAAACGGTTTAGAGCTTAGTGTTTTAGGGTTTAGGGTTTAGTATTTTGGGGTTTAGGGCTTAGGGTTTAAGGTTTAGGGTTTAGTGTTTTAGGGTTGAGGGCTTACGGTACAGTTTCCTCACTGCACCCTAAGCTCTACAGCTCAGGCACTCTGTTTTGGGTTGTCAGCCGCTACTCGTTTTGCGCCCGACCGGGCCAATCACTTTGCTCATTGAGAAGCTGCATGAGGCCAAGACTGGGGGGCTTCGGGTTCAGGACTCAGGGTTGAGGGGTTTTTAGGGTTGAGGGGTTTAGGGTTTGGAGGTTTAGGGGTTTAGGGTTTGGAGGTTTAGGGTTTAGAGGTTTAGGGAAAGTTTTGAGACGGTTGTTTCTCTTTGCCATACCGCAAGTCTTCCAACGCTCGGTCGGGCGAAAGCGACAAAAAGACAAATGTTGGTCCTCCCGTAAAAGTAGGGCAATACTGGAAAGCCTCTGCTAGGTCAGCGAGTGGCTTGTGCTTCCTTTCTGGCCGCTCTTTGCTTGGACAGGGATTTTCGTTGGTGCAAAACTCAGTTGCCTTTCAAAGCCGCAGATGTGTCGCGGAGCATGGTGCACCACAGACTGACAGATGAAAAAAGACGAGATGATCTTGGCACCAGGTTGCGATGCCACTTTTGTGGAAAGTTTCCGAGATGGGCTCGAGGATGTGCCTTGTTGTTTGTTGCAGCTTAGGTCTCTACATGTTTATCATCGCTGCGACGGAGCTCAGCCGATTCATCAAGTACGTGACTGCGTTCACAGAGAACATCTTTGCAACCTTCATCGGCACGGCCTGGCGCTCAGACGATACCTGTCTCCGCAGTAGGCACAGCCCGAAGACCTATCCTTAGATCGGAGATGCGAGGTTTACATCAATGACGGCATTCAGGGCATGATCCGTGTGTGGAACAGTGGCACCACAGACGTCGCAGCAAGAAAGCTGCTCGTTTTTAACATGACCCTGGGCTGCACAGCTTTGGCCTACTACCTCAGCAACATCCCCAGCACAGCTTCTCGGACCGCTTTACAGCGTTCAGGAGGCTAAGGTCCCCTCTTCACTTCTGCTTGTGTTGCAGTCCCCAAGCCTCGAAGACGATTTTTTTAAACACATTGTCTATCCCTTCTGAAATGGATGTTGGTGTTTGCTTGTTAAACTGTTAAGTTTTCAGGTACTCTAGTTAGATAGCTTCATGCTTGCAGAATGTGATCGCGCTCGCTGCGGAGAGCAACCAAGGCGTGGGGTACCTACACCATCCGGAAGGTGCTGTCCGATTATGCCTGATCCCCAGGATGTACGTGTCATGCTCATACATGAGGAGGGATGCCACCCTGCCGTGGGCTAAGACTACGGAACTTTCCATTTATGTGCTGGAAGCCGCAGATGATGTAAGGCGCTCACCATCTCAGTCTTCGTGCTGGCCATCGTTGCTGCTATCCTTGATGCCAACTTTTTTGGAGTGGACTTCATTGACACAAGCAGCACAGGCTCGAGCAATCACGTGCTTGAAAACTTTCAGCATGTTGGGGCAGGGGATGCGCATGGTCCCTGCAAGGTCTAACTACGACTGATGGACGTGAGTGGATGACGGACATGGGAAGCATTTCCGCAACTGGCGTCCTAGTGGCGGCTGTAGCTGCTATCCCTATCGTGATGTTCTTCTATTTGGACCAGAACATTTCCAGCCTCATGTGCCAGAAGCCTGAGCAAATGCTCGGGAAGGGAGCTTACTTCCATTCTTCCTTCGCTTGCATGGCCCTCTTCAACCTTCTAGGACCTATTTGGGGCTTGCCCTTCGTGACCGGCTCCTTGCCACATTCACCCCAGTTTGTGAGCGCGATGACGGAGACCGATGAGGATTACAAGCCCACTGGGGTCGTGGAGAACCGAGTGGCACCTTTCGTCGGCTACCTTTATGAAATTCTTTCTAGATACAGCCACATGTTAGGTGCATTTAATCTGGTAATGTTGAACCCCCTCTTGTAGCCAAAAGACTTTCATAAGGCTACCTTCTAATGGGCGTGGTCCTTTTCCTGCCCGACCTTCTGAACAAGCTTCCCGAGACTGCAGTGAGTGGTGCTCTCATATTCGTGGGGCTGAAGGCCTGGAGCACCGCCATCCCAAACACCCAAAGCCCACCGCCCCAAACAGTTTAGGGGTTTAGGGTTTAAGGGTTCAGGGTTTAGGGCTTAGGGTTTAGGGTTTAAGGCCCTAACAAAAACCCAAAGCCCAACGCCCCATACCTAACACACAAGAACTCGCTATACACGTGCCTTCTACTCATTATAAGACCATGCCCTATATTACCCGAAGCCCTTCCAGCACCCTAGCCATCATAAGTCCCGATTCTATAGCTACCGCGAGCCATCACGACAGAACCCATAATAAGCTCCAAAAAATACCTAAGCCCTAAGCCCTAAAAAATATAATTCAGGACCCGCCCCTAAAGCCTAAACCTGAACTCTATAAACCCTAAACCCAGGGACCGTAACCTTCTAAAGCCCCGAAATGCCCAGAATCATAAGGACCCTCAGAGGGGGGGTAGGAGGAAGGGGGATAGGGGGCTTGGGCTTTTTATAACTTTAATACATGTAATAATAAGGCTTATTTCAGGAAGTATAGTCCCCTACCCCCCCCGACCCCCGCTCCCCCCTACTCCCCTAAGGGTCCCTATGACGAAAGGCCGCTTTGGGCACGCAGCTCTGGGAGCGATTTCTTCTTCTCTTCACCGATCCCGTGGCTGTTAAAGCTGGGGTTTTTAGGGTTTAGGGGTTTAGGGTGCAAAGCTTCTGTTATCGTCATGATAATGCCGCCTATGTTTACTTCATTTCTGGCTATGGTTGCTTTTAGTACTTGTTGTCATGATTTGTTGGTTATTACTTTTGGGATCGTGAGTATGGTTGTATTTTGATTGTTATGGTTATTCACCATTACGCATAGAGATGGTCATCATTCGTATTGTCGTGACTGTTATGTCTCAGTTGTTTTTTGTTCAGGTTTGTGTACTTTCTTGCTGCTTGTGCTACTACATCAACGATGATGGTGGTGAAGATGATGTTGCTGCTGCTGCTGTTTCGTTGCGCTTGTTGTCGACAGTTGCTTGCTGTGGGGGATCCTTGCTTGCTGCGAATGACCCAGCCGTGGTACAAGAGAGTGTTGCGTTGTTCGACACGTTACACCCGAGCTAGCTTGCTCCTGATATGTCAATTCTGTCTGGTGCTACATTTCTTATGAAGACTTGCCTCTAAACTAACCTGGAACCGGCTAAGGTTCCTTTGAAGAGGACCGTCGTCCAAAAGTGTCGTCTTCCTTAGGTTTCTTGATGCTAATTATCTACCGCAGCACCAAGCGTTGAAGATCCGTAAAGCCCGATTCGGGTTTAGGGTCTAGGGGTAACATGCTCGCTTTGTTACTTATGAGCACTAAACACTTAGTAACCTAGTACACAACGAATGCCCAAGGATCCATCCAAACCACGATCGGGCAAAGGCTGCTTGGCATTTTTGTCAGATGTGGTTTGTGCACGTGAAAACGGCAACGTTCGTCCCAGCATCACTGACCACTCAGGCTACAGCCACGTGCCTCTCAAGACCGTCCATTGCTTCACGTTGCTTCAGATCTTGATGGTCGTCTGCCTGCCGTTCAGTGTGGCTTTTGTTTATTGCCTATAGTTGTCGTGTGAACCAAAGCCAATCATACCGACTGGGCATACACCAAGAAAGACTATTTGGAAGCCACCCTGCAGCTTACCTGGAATCTTTGGCACTCTAATGGACTATCGCTGTGTAACCGCGAGTCGCCACGGCAGCAGCAACAACAGCCAAACGCATATGAGCAGAAGAAAAGTACTCACCGGTTAAGGAAAAGAGGGAGAAAGAGAGACAAGCAAGCAGACAGACACATACATACACGCGCACACACACACACAGAGACACCCAGACTAGTGTATCCAACCATTTATACATGCAGACTCCTGACGCATGCAGAGCCAAGCTGAGGTCGTTGGTTGTTGGCTTTGCAACATCTACATCGGCCTCGGATTTCCCGTCTTCGTCCTTGGCTCGGCTTTCATCGCTTTAGGGGAGAACACAGGCGAGGTCGTGAATCACCGGATCTCTTTGTCTTCTCGAGCTTTTGGCGAGAAGATGGCAAGTTCAAGACTGATACTCGTGTTGCTAGTTATATCAGCATAGACCCGACCCTAACGAACACCTACCAGTCCACGCCGCACATTTCACACCCAAAATCTATCTTCTTCAGCAGCAGTAATTAAGACAGACCACTTTAGGAGTGCACAATGGGAGCCGCTCTGTGGCCGGGGGAGAATGATGGCGAAATCAGGACTTCCGGAGGCCGAAACCGGGAGCGCAGCACGAGTTGCAGCCAAAGTTTGCACACTATATCTCTGGTGAGAGCTGCAGATTTCGGGAAGCGGAGATGCACGGGACTGTGGCTCGAAGGTGAGTCGTACTCGAAACAAAGGCGCGGCGCTGTAGTGAATGCGTTTGCAATTAGCATATGTTGTCGTTTGTTATGTTGAGTGTGCAGTGCTGCAGTGCTGACCCAAGGACGGTTGCTCAACACTATAAGGTTTAGGGTTCAACCCTTTCTTTTGCCACTCGTTCGTTTTTGTTTTTTTCTCTCTCTCTCTCTCCGGCTCTCTCTCTCTCTCTGTCTCTCTCTCTCTCTCTCTGTCTGTCTCTGCCTCACTTTACAATTGCCAGCTCTGCTTCGTGAGCGTGAGATGCCTTCGCCTTGTTGTGTTTGCGCAAGAGCACCTCACACGAACGCAATGTCGAGCGCAATACACTTATCCTTAAATCCTGAAGGCAGTATCTGCCTCAAGAGCAACGCTGTGCTGAACAGGTCTTCTATGCAGTGTATTGCAGTTTAGTACATATAACCAAGCCAACGCCATGCTAGTCATACTCTACTCATGAAGGTCTCAAAAGCTGGAGCTGTTTGGGCAGGTAAGGTCCCGAACCATGAGCACCGAAATCCAAAGCACAACCCTAATCCGAAAACCTATATGCCTAAATGCCCTAAGCACCAAGTATTGTCGAAATCTGAATTACTTGTAACTTATAGTACTCTTCCCTTATGGTCATATTGTCGATTATACTGTTGCGGACCTTAGACACCATTTAAAAATCATGAAGACGCCCATATGAAATACAAAGCTCCAAAAGCCCTAAGCCTAAACCCTAAAGCCCCTAAACCCTAAAGCCCTAAACTCTTAAGCCCTATGTGTTCGAAGCCTCGAGCCGAGGTCGCCAGCCTGATTCCGTTTCGCTTCAAAGTCCTTCCTTGCCTCTTCAAGAGCGAAGATATCGAGGCTCTCCTCACGGAGGAGATCGTTCGGGGGTCAGAGGTTTTGGAGGAACAGCTTCGAGGGTTTGGGGTGTAGAGTTTCGATAATCCTACTGATCCTGCTACTTCCACTACTATTGCCCACTGCTACTGCTACTCCCTCCGCCTTTACTACTGCTGCTTTGATACTGCTACTCCCTCTCCTTTTGCTACTGCTGCTCTGCTACTGCTACTCCCTCTGCCTCTAATACTGCTGCTACCAATGAACTGTTGCTACTACTACCACTAATAATAATAATAACCACAATAATACTAACACTAATGCTAATACTACTGCTGCTGCTGCTGCTACTACTACTACTACTACTACTTCTACTACTTCTACTACTTCTACTACTTCTACTACTTCTACTACTTCTACTACTTCTACTACTGCTACTGC